AAAAAAAAAAAAGATTTCGAGGGCTGAGGAGTGAGGGTCGGGCTCACTGGTTATACTTATTTTATTTTAATTCACATATTTTTTTTAAAAAAAAAAATGATTAATTGAGAGTAATTTAATTGGGGTAGGCATTAACTACTCTAGTAAGCATTAAACACTAAACTAAACAATTAACAAGGCTACTAAGTCTAAGTTTAACCTTATGGTTGCGGAACCGATACCGAACCAATAACAAGTTGGTAATTGATAATCGGTTACCGTTATAAATAAATAGGCACGGTTTTTGGTACAAAAATGCCAACCCTACTTGCCACAATTAAAAATAGAAGATGATAATAAATAGAGAAAAGGGGAATAAATAGTTGGGCCTTCATTTTCAACAATGACACCATAGACATAAAGTCTGCAGAGTGCATATAATTTGAATTAAAATGAGAGGAATGACCCCTGCCACCTAATATTTTCACCTTCTTGCCATACATCACAAATCTTTTTTGATTCACTGTTCACTCATAACTGATTCACGAAGCCACTCCAAAAGTTGGGGTGAGCTCCAACTTTACTCAATCTTAATTCTTTTGATTATATTAGAATATTAGTAAACAAAATTTAGTCAATCTTCTATTAGATTAGCTTAGTAAAATTTTAGATCAAATCAAAATCATATACTTCTACATAATTTAGCTTTGGCCTCATTCTCAGAAGGGAAACTGATAAACAAGGTTAGGTCGGGCTGCTTTGTTGAGCCCGATTGCATATCTAAGTCATACGAGTCAAGACAACCGCTCTAGGAGACATGGCCGCTAGAGCCTTTGTTGGCGAAGTAAGAAATATACAATCTGTGTTCACCCTTAAATGCATGTACCAAGTTTTTATTATGAAATATTCTATCTCAAATCTTCTGCATAGAAGAGTTTGTTAATTACTTGTTAGAATTTCTCTAAAAAAGAATTTTGTACTTAACCGATCACTGTGTTTGGTCTAGCAGCAATTGACGACGAAAAACTGCAGATGACTACAAGTAAATGTCAATAGCAATATGCATCTCAATTACATTTACACCATAAGATAAAAAACCAAGAAACAGAGATTAGTTGGGCCGGTGGTCTACGGCTCGCAAAACCACTCGTGATTGAGCGCGTCTTGAGCCGTTATCCTTTCCTGTGGACTGTAACACAAAAGGCGCGAGAGCAGCTGAAACCCACTCTCCGAGAGCAACAGCCCACCTTCTTCCGAAACAGTGGCAGCGACAAACTTTTCGCGCAGCAAACCATGATTGGTCACGATAATCCCAAGCTGCTCGATTTCCGAGTCCCCTTTGAAAAGCACTTGCCTCAAGAAGAACTCCGCCATAATGCAGCCGACGGACCACATATCAACAGCCGACAAGTAGGTGTGGGGCTCGAGAAAGAGTTCGGGAGCCCTGTACCAAAGGGTCCCCACGTGAGGGGTGCAGACAGGATCCAGCGCGCTTGGAAACTGACGGGACATCCCGAAATCGCATATCTTGAGCTTGCCCTTGGCGTCAACAAGGACGTTGGAGGGCTTCAGGTCCCTGTGCATCACCCGATTCTGATGAAGATGATTGACTCCTTCAAGTAGCTCCTTCATAAGGCGCTTGACATGAGGCAGAGTGAAGGAGGTCCTCTTGAGGTACTCGTGAAGATCATACTCAGCGTACTCCATCACAACGTAAATATCGTCCCAATCGTCCACCGCCAAGTGCTTGTACTCCACGACCGACGGGTGGCGAATGGACTTCAGGATGTTTATTTCGGTCTGCGTTGACTCGCATAGCCCGCCAAATTCCTTCTTGACGGCCACTATTTCGTTCGTCATCTTGTGACGTGCTCTGCAGACGACGCCGTACGCGCCCTGGCTGATCCTGTCGAGACACTCGTAGTCCTCTATGCTTCCGTAACCGGAAACTGATGATTTCTCGACTAATCTTCTCTTCTTGAGACTCTGAACATCATCGTGGTCGTCGTCGTCGTCGTCGTCATGGGGCAACCGCACCTGATCCTTTTTCTTGATATGAATTCCGGTGGCCCCCTTTGATCGGTGGGCTCTTTTCCTGCCCGCAACAAACGCCGGGTGTGCAGACCGACCAACTAGTGCACCTGTCGCCATGCTCTCGAGATTTTTGGATTGATTTTTCCTTGGAAAAGATGGAAGTAATTAGGCGGTTCAATGACTAGGGAATTTCGCGGTGAGAGAATTGTATTTATGATTGTATATCCCTATCTGTCTATTTATGGTAATATTTACATTGTAGTATTAGGAATATAAGATCCAAACTAATCATTGTATTTGGATTCTATTAAGGTAACTTGTTCTCCAAACTCTTCTTTTGCCCAATTATTTCGTAAAATCAGCTTTTAATTTATTATTATTATTATTATTATTATTATTATTATTATTATTATTATTATTATTATTATTTATAATTATTATTATTATTATTATTATTATTATTGTTGTTATTATTATTGTTATTACTATCTTCTACTAAATTGTCCCATGACAAATCAAGAAAACTATAAAAAAATATTGAACAAAAAGGAAAATTAGATAATTGCAAAAAATCGCGATTACATCATATCTTCTTATTAATTTAATTTGTCAGTGAAAATAAGAATAATTATCTAATAATAAGTTATCTAATACTACCTCCTATTTTTAATATGTGTCGTTTTGAGAAGTTGCACACTAATTAAGAATATTTTTTTTGATGAAGATAGAGATGAATGTTTTGAAAAAAAGTGAAGAATGAACATGAAAATGCATTTATTGGCTAAATAAGGGTAATAATGGAAAAATATGTACAAAAAATTCAAAACGACATTTATTTGACAAATAATTGATAAAACTAAAATGACATTTAAAAAAAAAATAGGAGGGAGTAATATTAACTAATAATGTCAAACGGGGGCAAAATGAGTCACCGAAGAGCCAACAAAAAACCTCTGTTAGTTCTTGTTCCTTCTCCTCCTTCTCTTCCTTTCTTTTTCTCCTAGATCACTTTGTAAGCTGCTTTAACAGGTGAAGAGACCCTTCTTGTAAGAGTGTCAGAACAACTTGTTCTTTGATCCTCATATGGTATTACTTACATATTTTGAGCTTCAAATTGAAGGTTTCAAAAAATTGCATTACAAAGAGCACTACATTTAAATCTTGACAAATGGTTCGAATTATAAATTTTTGTCAAAAAAATAAAAATAAATAAATAATATAATTTAATATTTCAAAAAAAAAAAAAAACATATGAAGTTAAGTTTAAAACTTTATAATTTAATTACTATATTTGATTGATAATCGTATATAATTGGGGGTTTTCGGTTAACCAAGTCAAGCTGGCTGAAACCGAATATTCAATTTGGACCGAAATTGAAACCGTATATTCAATTTGGACCGAAATTGAAACCGAAAATTTGGTTCGGTTTCAACAACGTACTCATGTCAGTTCACATTTAATTTACAAATCCAATTGTACTAGGGTGTGTTTGACACGTATACTAAGCTAGCTTATAGCTTATTTGGCTAGCTTATAAGCTTTCTGTATCAAATAAGCCCCCTTTGGTAGGACGAGCTTATTTAAAAAGTTCGAGCTTATTTGATAAGCTTGTTTAGGTAGCGTTTCAAAATAAGCTAGTTGACTTTTTTTATTTCAGCTAGCTTATAAGCTAGTTTTACCAAACACTTTTATCATATAAGCTAGCTTTTCAGCTATAAGGGTATGTTTGGTAAGCCAAATAAGCTAGCTTTTAGCTTATTTGGTTAGCTTATAAGCTCCCTGTTTAAAATAAGCCTCGTTTGGTAGGACGAGCTTATTTTAAAAAGCTCGAGCTTATTTCATAAGCTACTTTAGGTAGCTTTTCAAATAAGCTAGTTGAATTTTTTTATTTCAACTAGCTTATCAACTAATTTACCAAACACTTTTTATCATATAAGCTAGCTTTTCAGCTATAAGTCATAAGCTATAAGCTATAAGCTCAAAAATTACATATAAGCTATAAGCTAGCTTATCAGCTATAAGCTAGCTTATCAGCTAATTTTACCAAACATAGCTAAATCATAAGCTAAAAGCTATAAGCTAGCTTATAGCTTATCAGCTACCAGCTAGTTTATAAGCTATCAGCTAGCTTATCAGCTAGGAAATTCTTTTCTTAATAATACATATTTATTTGCGAAATCCTTTTCGGGATGCTACTAAAAACCATTCATTGCTTTGAGAATCCGTTATCTTTATTGAAACTTAACTTTGAAGAATAAACGGATTAATTTAGATCAACTGACATGTAACACTTTATAAAAATTTGTCTGATAAATTAGTTTAAAAATTAAAACTGACATGCTAGTTGAAATATCATAAAGTAACAGCGGAAGTCATACGTGGCAAAACATAGCTGTACAATAATGTACAATGGCTGCTAGCCATATCTCTGACCACGATCCACAAACCAGCTCACTCCTCTAGTCCGACGCTGTAATCTGAAAAACATGATAATAGTGGGAGCGTGAGTACTAAAAACACTGTACTCCGCAGAAACTCATATTAAAGTAAACATTAATAATAATTGCAATATCATGATTTAAAGCATATATATACAACTGAACTGTCATGTCATGTACTGTAACTGCGATCAACCGTAACTGCTACGGGATCGAATGCTGTATCTGGCGGCTATAATATGCTGCGCCGCGCCTATGTGCACACTCTAGTGGGCAGATTACGCCACTAGAACTCAGATGGTCTTACTTTGTCTAGCCTCACTGAGCAGGAACTGAATATACATACCTCGAACATGATAACTGTAATTATACTCAATGTAATACTTAGTCTGAGTCCCCACCTGAACTGCTGAGTTGAAAATGTAAGTGCTGATCATCTGGATCCTGAATAAACTGAAAATAATATAAACAATTACTAAATACTATGCTCAGACTGATAAAAATAGCTGATTAATATGTTAAGATGCTCTACTGGACTTTAAACATGATATCTGGACTTATCCGGTATAACCGGAACTGAACAAACTCGGAACTGGACTGACATGAATTTACTGAACTGGTCTGGACTCGGAATTTAACTGAAATTGGGGCATGAACATGAACCGGGACTTAAATACAGTGGCTGAATTATATAAAATACGAACTAAACTGTACAAATTGGGACTGGACCGGTCCAGCCGGTCTAGCTTGAAATCATGGTTGAAATTAAAAAAAATTAGGCTAAATTGCATATAAAAGCACCACCTTTCATGTTTTTGCAATTTAATCACCACCTTTGCAATTTAGCAATTTAATACACCACTTTAGTTATTTTTTGCAATTCGAATCACAGGGCCCAATTTTGGGCCTGTTCTGGTGACGTGGAGGCCCGTTCTGCTGATATGGCATTTTTGTGATGACGTGGTGTTTCCACGTGTCAATGACGTGGCATTTTTGGGCTGACATGGCGACCCATGTGTCAATTAAAAAACAACAATTATGTTGCACGCTCTGAGATTCGATCCTAGGTTGAAGGGGTTAAAGGGTAGCATTAGCTACCACCACACCAGTGCAACTTAGTTGTTAAATGTGATAACCCTTTATATATATACACATTACATTACGTATGGAGAAATCAGATTAAATCTAAAAAAATAATTTAATTATATTAAATAAAATTATATAAAATTGAATTAAAAATAATATATTAAGATAATTAAAATATATTTTTTCGAATTCATATTTTGTGTTAGAGTGAATCATATTAATAATATTATATTCATTTAATATTTTTATTTATTTATTTAAAATAAATTTATAATAAATATAATAACTTATTATTATATAATAAATTATTATTTCATTTAAGTTTTTTAATATTTTATTATTTTATATAAAATAACACTTTTTGTTTTATTATTCATTACGATTATTTAACATTTTATTTACTTAAATTATATTTTTAATTTATTATATTTATTTAAGATTTTTATTTATTTTTATTTATTATTTCATAATAAGTTATATTTATTAAAATATAATAAAAATAATATAACATAAGATGATAAAGTATAAAAAAGGTGAATTCAAATAAAATAAAATAAAATAATAAACAAAATAACTGATTATTAAATAATAAATAATGAAAATCTTATTTATTAAATATTATTAATATGGTTTACTCTAACACAAAATATGAATTAATAAAATTCTATATTTTAATTATCTTCATTTATTTTATTTTCATTTAATTTAATTTAATTTATTATAATTTTATATTTAATTAATTTATTATAATTAATTTTATATTTTAAATTTATTCATACGTAATTCCTATATATATAAATTGTTAGTGAATATGTTAACTAACATGGATAGGTGAGTTGGTAGCATAGTTACTTTTCTCCCATGGAGACCAGGGTTCAAACCCCCCTTTCTACAAAATATATATATTTTTTTCTTAATTGACATAGACTGCCACGTCAGCCCAAAGATGCCCCGTCATTGACACGTGGAAACGCCACGTCACCACAAAATGCCACGTCACCAGAACAGGCCCGAAATTGGGCCATGTGATTCGAATTGCAAGAAATAAGTAAAGTTGTGTATTAAATTGCTAAATTACAAAGGTGATGATTAAATTGCAAAAACATAAAAGGTGGTGCTTTTATATGCAATTTTGCCAAAAAATTAGTTTAGAGGGCGCAAAATACATGACATAATGGGTTCAGAATTGATATCGAACTGATAACATTTCGTTAATCGATTTTTTGTTACCGTTACACATTAGTCGTTTTGGTTCGGATTATTTTCTCATCGGTTTGGTTCGGATCGATTTTCAGTTTTTGGTCAAAAAAATACTAGCCCCAGCCTGGGCAATAAAAGAGAGTTGAAGTCTTTTTGTTAAATATCACTTGTGAGTTGTCCCACATTGATTCTATAGAGAAAATGAGCCTAGTGGGCTACTCCTTTCATCACCAATTGATTTTGGGATGTAACCTCATTAAGGTGCATCTAGACTCACCATCTTACGACCTGCGACGATTCTCTCTACCCGGCCTGCTCTGGGCTTGGGTTATCTCTCTACTCGGCATGCTATGTGGGCTTAGGCTTACGAAAGACTCACAAGTGAGGGGGCGTAAAATATCACTTGTGAGTTGTCCCACATTGATTCGATAGGGGAAATGAGTCTAGTATATAAGCCTAGTGGGTTACTCCTCTCATCACCAATTGGTTTTCGGATGACTCACCCTCACATGGTGCGCTTCACCCGGTGGGACCTCACCCTCTTCCCCCGATTATAATACTTTTATATGTGCCAATTAAAATTATAGAAGTATAATAATTAATATACAAAATTTAATAGTAAAATAAAAGAAATGTTAAAATATTGTTATTTGACAATTGTGTACAAGTTGTCTGTGAGTGACATTTAAAAACAAAAAAAAAATGAAGGGGTACAAAATAAATTTAAAGGGGACAAATTAAAATTTCTAATATTAACAGTAAAAAAAAATTAAAATTTGAAGGAGACAATTACCCTATATCACTGCATGTAAATTCGCTCATGTTTGAAATACAAAGAGTAGTAAATATTTCTTCTTCAATTTTCAATAACGAATCCATGTAAGTCCACATCTAATTTACAAATTTAATTTCACTAGATTGTTGGTTTAATTACATGATACCTGAAAAAATAACTAGTAATTTATAATTACATCAATCTAACCATTGCTTTTATTTGCAATATCGGACGAAATTTCGATTAGTAATTCTGATGAAATAAATTTGAACACCACACACACATTCAATAACAACTATATAATAACATCCAAAGTGAACAATTGGAAACAATGAAGGCTTGATTGATGTTGGATCAATCGTCTTGCACGTCTCACATACAGAGCCATCGACAATTATCTACAAATTTTATATCAAAACGTTTTATTAGACTCAATATTATATGGGTAGACATGGCCATCGGTTGGCCTGACTCGTGGACCGGCTCAAAAACGGCCCACCCTAGCCGATTTTTGAACCGACCCATAACCCCTTAAGGACTGGTTACGGGTCATGTTGTACTAATTTTTTACCTGGCAGGCTGGGCCGGGCTCGGGCCCAGGTTTTCTGACGTCGGGCCGTGAACCAGCCCGGGCTTTGGCCACGTCTATACGTAGGGTGTATATATATCAATTCATATTTCGAGTGAGGCATGCAGAGGAAGTAGAACACGTGTAATGCTAATGCTTCTGCAACTCAATTGGCAATAAATGATAAATAAATAATAATTTAAGAATATTGCATGGTATATACCAAAATCCAAAATTGTCTAAATGCTTCCTAGTTATTTACAGACGTCTCCTAGAATATATATTTTCTCTCCAGGTCCTTAAATTCTTTTAATTTTCTTTTTGTGCTCTGTATGAAGTTAGTTCCCACTCATTGTGTTCCCCAATTTACTCTTCAAGGCTTCACTTTCTTTTTATGTCCATTTTTTTTTTTCTACAAACAGAACTTTTCAAGATGAGATGGCATACGAGTGGAGGTGAAATAGAGATAGCATGGAAAGATCACATTGTCGTCAAGGGCTTGGCTTCCATACTCGTTGCTCTTTTCGGTATATTTCTTATCTTCTCGGCTCCTAATTGTCTGCGAATAACACGACACACGCGCCCACAAACACGATAAAATTATGTGATTTTATTAGTGATAACTACTGAACATGATGATTACTAGTGATCTTGATTATAGTTTTTATGGTGCCTCACTCATGCCCTTTGTAGTACTAATAAATTTTTTGTGGATAGATAGTCTAAATTAACTACTAAAAATTTAAATATTTTATTGTGTGGAATGGATGAATGTTGTTGTCGAACAGTTGTAGTGTGTATTTATGGTGCATTGAGAGCAGTTAAAAAGGGTGCAGCAGCTAGTCAAAAACAGGTCCTTTCCGAGGGTAGTTATGCAGCAGCCACTGCTAGGG